AATTTAATGTTTATTTGTAATTATTTTTATTATTATTATGATAATTGGTTTTATATAGCATTTTACCCCAGCCTAGGGCTGGGCTCACCACGTGGTACATGCAATTTAACGAATAGAATGAAAAACTTTTTTTTAAAAAGTAATTAACACAAATTAATTAAATACAAAAAGATAATTACTACTTTTACACACTGGCTTCAATTATGAAACATTAATCTCATGTTTTAAGTTATGACTCGTTCAAACGGTGTACAACAAAGGACGATACCATAGAGAAATTACAATAGCAAAAATACAACACCCATAACAGTTGCTGTATACAATTAATATGATTTATTGAAGTATTGATATCAATACAGAATTTAAAAAATATAATTACAGATCATCAACTTAAAGGGTATGAGAAGTATTGTACCGGTACACAGTTAGTACAATGTGCCAATTAATAATGTACAATGACGAATGAGAATAAACACATATGAGTACACAGAGAACAATAACACTTGTCTCGTCAAGTTTAAATATCTATCTGAATCTTCATCAATCTCCGAAACCCTTATTGGGTCTACCGATGCGTCCAGAAACGCCTTTGACATTCTTTACGTTTCTCGTCAAATCGAGAACGTTCCACAAGATACTAGGAGACAATTTAACCATGTTTAATTGGTAGTCGGCAGTAAACACGACAGATCAAAGAACTAAGCCAAGCCCATCTAATGAACGTAGCGTCTGCTAGGAATCTAATTTGGGGTCAAGCAAAGTTCACGCACGGGGAAAAGTGTCCTACATAACAATTACTATTATATTTTTTTTTACAGGAACTATAATAGAAATGTGTACATTACTTTTCGTCGGGCGAGAAGGTAGCGGAAAAAGTTCTGTTGGCAATGCTATACTAGGACAAGATGATGACAAAGCAACGTTTGAGACAAGGTGGTCATCAGAAGTGAAGACGTTAAAAAACGAGATGGCCCACCACAATGATGAGTCTTTTGTTCCAGAATGTTCTGGTACTGTGTCTTATTGTATGCGGTTGGGTTTTTGTGTGGAGATATTGTGTTTTGTTATTTTTCAAGGTTTCCCTCTTCTGTTTTCTCTAATCTGTTTCGCGATTGTGATTGTTGTCTCTGATCAATTCCTTAATCTGTTTATCTTTCATGTTCTCCGTATTATTCTCGAAGTTATCTTTAATGTTTTCCCTATTCTGTTTGTTATCTTTCTTGTTTTCGCTAATCTGTTTGCTGTCTTTCATGTTTTCCCTATTCTGTTTGCTATCCTTCATGTTTTCCCTATTCTATTTGCTATCTTTCATTTTTGCCCGTTTCAATTTGTTATCTTTCATGTTTTCAATATTCTGTTTGCTATCTTTCATGTTTTCCCTAATCTGTTCGTTATCTTTCATGTTTCTCTATTCTATTTATTATTATCTTTCATGTTTTACTTTTTCCGTTTATCATCTTTCATATTTTCCTTATACTGGTTGTTATCTTTCACGTTGTCCCTATTTTTCATATTGCATTCTTTAAAAAGCGCACCCGTGATCAAGCACTTTGAAGTAGTTAGTATGATGTATCCTACGATTATTATTATTATCATCATTTTTTTTTTAAAAATCATTTAGACTTGGTTGATTTTTTTTTTTTTTTCACTAAAAAGGTTTATAAAAGTTTAAGGGAAAATATAAAATGCAACGCTATAGGCAATCTGTTAAAACTGTAATATGCATACTGTCATCCGTCCGTCACAATGTGACGATGATATATAATTCTCAGGACAAAATTAAAAGGCCTGTGTTGTTTTTTTTAGTAATATTAGCTGGTTCTCTAGACAGCGAATCGCCTCTCTTCATGCACCCAAATAGCCCAAGAGAACACCATATATTGGCTCCAGTGAGTCTCAAAGTTGGTGGAATATTTGACTCCTCCTGGGCAAATGCATCCATAGTCTCGCTGTTACTAAGACGTCTGGATAATCATACATGTTCACCCTTTTACTGTGTCAATATGAATATATCTATATTAGTTGATTTTGAAATTTAGCTTTGCTTGTGTAGAGTTTGAAAACGTTAGTTTATTCATTGTTGGAGCGGTCTTTCAATGTGAACTTATTATTGAAGTATTAAACCAATTTTAAACGCTCTCATGGGAATCAACAACATATTTAAATTTTACCTTCACGACTCCTTGATGTTCGTTCTTTTTTTTTTTTTTGAGGGGGGGGGGATAATATTATACAGCACAAACTTCTTTATTTACATACAATATTTTGCTCAAAATTAACGTGTTCTTATTGAAGTATTAAACCAATTTTAAACGCTCTCATGGGAATCAACAACATATTTAAATTTTACCTTCACGACTCCTTGATGTTCGTTCTTTTTTTTTTTTTTAAGGGGGGGGGGATAATATTATACAGCACAAACTTCTTTATTTACATACAATATTTTGCTCAAAATTAACGTGTTCCGTGTCTCTTTAGAACAAACTTCCGTGGAACAACGATCTGTCTAACAAATTTATTTCGTTCGAATTTCCGGACACGCTTAAAACCAGGCTAAGCTCCTGCTACCTACTAATTAAATACCAACCCCATAAACACATTTGTTCTGGTCACAAACTTTCAGTTTTGATCCAAGTGATCGGAGTAGCTATTTTATTTTAACTTGTTGAGGCTAGTGATTGGGATTCTGTGATTTAAGACAGGATCGGTCTCAAAATGTCAAAAACGATTCCGCGAACTAAGAAACGAAATAAGGTTTATTCTGGTGTCATTACATCATGGGTTCCTGATCTTTATGTGAATATATAGATATTATTTATAAGCCACTGTTTATGTGAATACACCAACTTATATTATTTATATGTCAATGATTAGGTGAATATACAAACATAAGTATTTATATGTCAATGTGTAATTGAATATACAAACAGAAATTATGTATATGTCAATGTGTATTTGACTATAAAAACCTATTGTTTATATGTCACCGTGTATGTGAATGTAAAAACATAAATTATTTATACTCCCCTTTCTGTCTGAATATACAAAGAGAAATTATTTATATGGCAATGTGTATGTGAATATACAAACATATTATTTATATTTTACCGTGTATCTGAATATACCAACAGACCACAATTTTAGGCTGACATTTGTTGCAATAATGTATTTCAATTACAATAAAATAAACATCTTCTTATTTATTGGTGCTTTTCGTCTCCTTTGATGTTCAAACATCGTGCAGTTTCACACTGCTTACTTCCATGCGACACATCTGAATCCTGACGAGGTCCTAAGCCAGAATGTAGCATGACATCAAATTTGTCAAAACCAATTTGTATAAAGGAATGATTGTTGAAAGCCTTGTGAGATAGGAAACTTACTCAGCCGTCCTAAAGGTTTGAGAATTACTGTTAACCGCGGATTTATTTATTTTTACAAAATAATATTTTAAATAATTCATTGAAATCGTAATATTATAATAATGTTTCATTTACACGAACGCTATCATCCTCCACATCAACGGATTTGTTCTGGTATTTCTAATCGCCAGACAGACTCAGCTCTATCATCTCGTTAGGAGAGAGATTATGATTTTAAAAATATTAGCTCTGAGATTTACTCTTGAAGACACTTATACATTTAAGGAACAGCCATTTACTTAGAGGAATGCTATGCTTTAAGATGATCTAGTAGCTTAGACAAGGACGCTGACTTATACATTATTTGCGTACACCGTTTTTATTTAATGTTTATTTTATCCCAAATAAACGTCGCCTTTATTCTTGACTTGTCCATTTAGATGAATGAGGCACAAACAATGTGTGTAAATCCAACAATATATGTTAAGTTTAAACATGATTGCAGAGAGTACAAATGGAAAAGTTTCGGCACATGCCTTCATCAATTCAACAACCACAAAAACAACTTATTATTGTTATGCATTTAATTTACATAATATATACGTATACAACAAACAACTATGACTATAAACCCTTAGGTACCCAAAGGAGTTTTGTTACTTGTCAATGGGACGACTTGTCATTTTAGTTACTGGTCAATATGACGACTTGTTATTGAGACGATTGTGTCAAGATAACGTCTTGCCGAGTTGGTTACCTGTCCATGTGACGACTTATGTCACATATTGTGTAAAAAAAAATGACAACGTGTCAATGTGGCGACCTATCAATGAGTTGACTTGCAAACAATTACAACTCGTAAATGTGTCAAGCCATTCCAACGCTTTCTGGTGTTAAAACCAGGATTTCCTGAGTCTGCGTTAAAGACCGGGCACCGGTGAGTGGAATGAAACAAACAGCTTTCACTGAGCTGCATACTCCGCTGACTCCGAATCGCACACAATTCCAGATTATTTTCTGCTTTGCTCTGGCTGTAAAGACACCAGAAGGAGTCGAACAGAACGTAAACTTCTCCAATTGTAAATCTTTATTTAAATATGTTATTTAGTTATGTAAACAAAAGATGAAAATTTGGTCTCTCTCGTGTATATTACAGAATTGAACCAACAAAAAAAGATGGAACCAAATAATATCAATAATATAGTATTGTCACCAAATCAATACACCAAATAGTGACATCAAAAGAATGTCACCAAATAGTTACACGAAATAGAGACACCAAATTGGGACACCAAATAATGACATCAAACAATGACACCAAATCATGACACCACATAATGACACCAAATAATGACACATTATAATGGCACCAAATAATGTCACTTTAAAAATTCAATTGACGAATACAAGGATTACAACTACACCTACAAGTGAAATTGAAGGTGTAATAATCAGAAGGGCTCTCACCATCAGTTGTTTGTTTCTCGTCCACTCAACTACTCGTTTCATAGCAGTAACATCTGCAATCAAATCTGCCAGAAGTCCAGTCTCATTGTCCAAATCACGTAGATAAGCCAAGCGGCCATCCAGTTCCTCCAGCAATACTTTGAACGATGCACGGCCCCGTTTACAGATCACCCCGATATTAGCTAGACGGCTATTAACATCTTTTAAAAAGTCGGCGCAGTCTTCTCTAATTTGAGGCCCTTGCGAGATTAATTGCATACAAAGTCGCCTAGCTTCAGCTAGACTATAATCTTCTTCAGTGTACGGCCCGTGAACCCGATTCTTTATCATGTCCACGGCACGGAACAGTTGTACCACTTGTGCGTCTCTCTCCTTCTTGTGTTTAGCTCTGTTGTTGAACAGCACACATCTTTTGTTACACTCTTCATAAACAGCTTTGAAGTCTCCCCCTTGTTTGTTACACCAAGACTTAAATAGTTCTGTTTTTTCCTCTTCCATGTTGTCCTTCTCAAAGTTGTCCCCGTACGTCATCACGATGATCCCCCATTTTTTCAAGACATCCTCACCAAACAGAAATGTAATCATCTGGACGGCGTCTTTTTCTTGTTTGGTAAATCTCACGCCGTACTTCAGCACCAAGATGATGGCTGTGATGGTCTTACCACAATGTTCAAAGACCGAATCACTTGAATGGTTAGCAGCCGATTGTCCACCAATCAAATCGTCCCCGGTGTCACCAATACCAGACCCGTCCACCACAACACATGAACCAGTTTCACTTCTGGCCGGTGTGTCATGAATTGCCTTCTCCCATGCTGCTCGAGTTTCGAACACTTCCTCCCTAAGAATGGAGTTTCCGGTGGAACTTTTACCATTTCCGGTTCTTCCAACCAACAGTAGAACGGGTTTATCTCGGTTCATTTTCATCCAATTTATCTAAAATATGATTACACAAAAAAAAAAGAAAGATATACAAAGTTATTCATGATATATATATATCATTACGGGAACGAGAGTACATTAAGATAGATTTATTATTTTTTACAATAATCTCTAGACCACTTTAATATAAAAGTCGGAACTATACTGCTGAATAGAATTGAAACAAGGTGACTCTAGATCAAAGGTAGGCAAATTTGTGTGCAGATGGTAGCTTGGAAACTTATTTTTTTGCAAGCTAACTTTTTTTTAGGAATCTTAGTTTCATAGGAAGGCATTTGGCCGTCGGGCCCCATGTGGCCCAACCTTGATAGTAATGGTTTCCAAATCAATCGATTGGGCAAAATTAGCAACAACTTTTTTTTTTTTTTTTTTTTTTTTTTTTTTTTTTTTTTTGAATTATAAGTTTACCTCCTATACTTCATCTCCTTCTTAATCATCTGCAATCTAATCTGCCGGCCAACATGACTTGAACAGTTCACAAACCATTCTTTCATTCTTCTTTTCAAAAACTTGTAGTTTAGTGGAGACTAGTTGTAAGTAGCTACGCTCGCAACTGTAAACAATTAGTCCTACTCATTCGATGCAGTCTGAGCTGAACTGACTCATGCCTTATAATGTAGCCCTAACTAAATTGCAGCATGCATTTGATGCAGTCATAGCTAGACGAATATTAGAAAAATGTATATCTTGTTGGATTGAGACAAAACCGTTATAAATACTCACTGTGCTATGAATTCAGACACAAAAACCTACTCACTTTGCTATGCATTAACACATCCAAATACTCACTGTAAGATTGGATGTTGAAACATCAACAGCTCACTGTAAAATAAATGAACACACACACACACACACACACACACACATACACCAATTACTCAATGCTAGAATGAAGCAGACGAAGACTTTCCGCGCTTATGTTCCCCAACAGGCGCGACAGCTGGGCCGATGGAATCAATAGGCTTGTCATGGCGAGTACTCGCCACTTGCAACTGAAATACGGTTTTCCAGGAAACCGACCAGTGTTATATTTAAATTCTATTTCTGTCGGTCTCTGCGGGCGTGTTAGAGACTTGTGAAACGCCAGGATTAAAAATAGATAAAAAACTTAACTCGCTGCTGGTAAAACGATTGGAACTTTCGATTTCACCCCATCAATTCAGAAACTGTCATTCAATGCATGTGTGTAATGTACGTGTGTGTGTGTGTTTTCTTATGTGTTTGGGTTCTTGTCTGTGTGTGTGTATGTGCTTACGTGTTCAAGTGTTAGGCAATGGAATAGTTCTACTTGAATCCCATCATGTAACAGATCTTCGTAATATACCCTGGGACTTAATCAACCATTGCTCAAGTAAGTGATGGCACAGAACAGGTGTAGACGTAGTCAGAGTTGGCGTTCAGTGAACTGTCAAATTAAGTAGTCTCGGTAGTTTTAAAATAATAGAAATCATTATTGAAAATAACTCCTTCAAATTATTTAGATTCCCATCCCTCAGATTCTTCTGGACTACTTTCGTTTTCGATCACTTTCAATGATAGTCTCAGCGATGGACTAGTCCAGCGGGGACGCCTGAAGATATCGCGGTGTGACGCCGGCGCAGCAGGGCCGATGGCATTGGGTACGCCAGGGTCGCTGCTCCTTTACAATAAAAAAAACGAGCTTGCTTCTTTATGCTTACAGGCTTACATGTCCTTCCATGTCCTACCATGTCCTGTCATGTCTTTTCATGTCCTACCATGTCCTCTCATGTCCTCCCATGACCAGGCTCATCTACAACAACCATTGAATCAGATGGAGTTGTGAGGGGAAAAAAAGGAGGCGAGGATGGTCCATGAAAGATGCCGTACTCTACTCCACGACGAAGTAAAAAGAACAACATCCTTTTCTCCAGACAGTTATGTTTCGGCTAATATTGATTTATGTATTTATTTTTTTTCCCCACAAACGGAACAATGCATGTGCTTTTCCCCCCCGTGATTTTTAGGCAAGTCTATATCAAACAACAAGCAGAAAGAAAAATCAACCGCGCGTACACAAACTCAGACAAACATAAACACAAACATTAACAAACACATAAACAAACAGAAATTAATAAAGAGGCGAAATATCGAAAGTTTATTCCACAAAGTTTAGACTTTAAATGAAATTTAAGCATGAACACGAAACATATGAACATGAAACAGGTCAACATGAAACAGGTCAACATGAAACATAGCAACATGAAACAGGTCAACATGAAACCGGTCAACATGACACAGGTCAACATGACACAGGTCAACATGAAACAGGTCAACATGAAACAGGTCGACATGAAACATAGCAACATGAAACAGGTCAACATGAAACCGGTCAACATGACACAGGTCAACATGAAACAGGTCAACATGAAACAGGTCAACATGAAACAGGTCAGCATGAAACAGGTCAACATGAAACAGGTCAATATGAAATAGTTCAACATGAAACAGGTCAACATGAAACAGGTCAACATGAAACAGGTCAACATGAAACAGGTCCAAATGAAACAGGTCAACATAAAACATCTCAACATGAAACAGGTCAACATGAAACAGGTCAACATGAAACAGGTCAACATGAAACAGGTCAACATGAAACAGGTCAACATGAAATCAAATCAAATTAAATCCAATCCAAGTTACATAAATAAATCATTTCTTAAAAATCAAAAACAATAGTTAAACATAATTTATTCTTTCGAGTGTTATCAAATTTTATATTGATTGAACATTTGGTTCAAATGGCTTCATAGAAACGAACAGATCTTTAAAAAAAAATTGTGTTTCTGTCTTTCAAGGTTTGTTAAAGTTTTGTGAATTATAGATGAACGCAGGCAACATTTAACACTTCTAAGGTAAATCCAATTCACTCTTTTTTACATTTAAAAAAACTCAATAAAGATTTCCTAATCAGCAGGGATCAATTAGATTTACTTGGTTTAAAAGTGGGCTTGGAGTTCAAATTTTCAACATGTGACAAACTGTGTTCTGGTTGTCATTTGTATGATAACTTATGTTCGTATCAACATAATATCGTGACTGATCTTTATTGTCAATGAACACTTTTAAATTCAGAAAATTAAATTGAACAAATTGTAAATAGAGAACAACTATTGATTTTTATTAATTGTTCGTGAAGCTGTTTTTTAAAAAAAACTCTAATAGAATCATTAATCTAGATTATCAAGTCTATATATACCTGTACATTGAAAAGCATAATATATTACAGAATTAGACATAATCTGTTATAGTTTAAAACCCAACGTTGCACTTTTAGACACAGTGTTAGACCTAGTTTTAGACCTAGCGTTATAGTTAGTTTCAGACCCAATGTCACAGTTTCAGACATATTATGCTATAGTTTCAAATATAGTATGTTATATATCAGAAATAGTATTACTCGAGTTTCAGACATGTTATTTATAGTTTCATAGTTTTTTTATAGTATGTTTCATTTCACACATGATATATTTTAGTTTCAGGCATATTATTTTATTGTATCAGATATAGTGTTATATTTCAGACATACCATATTTTAGCTTCAGACATTATGTGATGTTTTGAGGCATGTTATGTCAAAGTTTAGACGTTCAAAGTTATTTCATTATAACAGAATCGTTACGTCACTGTTGTGGAATACATATCCACGGATCTTAATCTGAATGAAGTGGTGCGACTCTTCTGTTTCGCCTCAGTTTACTTCGCAGCCACGCGACAACCCGTAGAGAATGATAGCGTACAAGCAAACACACCAAATCCACAAGGGCACAGAGACGTTCACATCGTCCTCGTGTCATTCTCAGTTCTTGTATCAAAACGTTTATCTCAAAAACAACTTTCTCGTCTGTCTGTTGTCGTATGTGCTCCTTGAGGCCGGCTAATATTTCATCGTAATCTCCAACCCTACATTTAATATATCGCCTGGCTTGCTCCATGGGATCGTATGTCGGAGCATCATTTGGCTTCGGCCGCTTGCTGACAGCCACACTATAATGATCTTTAGTGTACAGACCAGACTCCAAGTTCTGAAGCCCGTATTGAAGCCACTTCAATTGATATTCTTTTATGCTGGTATTTTGTGTTCTATTATCAAATAGCACACATCTTTTGTTGCACTCTTCAAAAACAGTTTTGAAGTCTCCCCTTTGTTCGTTACACCAAGATTTAAATTGTTCTGTTTTGTCCCCTTCCAGGTTGTCCTCCATAAAGTTGTCCTTCTTAAAGCTGTCCTTAAAGTTGTCCTTCTCAAATATTTCCTTCTCAAAGTTGTCCCCGTACGTCATGATGATGATCCCCCATCTCTTCAAGACATCCTCACCAAACAGAAATTTAATTATCCGGACGGCGTCTTTTTCTTGTTTGGTGAATCTCACGCCGTACTTCAGCACCAAGATGATGGCTGTGAAGAACATACCACAAAGTTCAAAGGCCAAGTCACATGACTTGATAGCAGCTGATTCTCCGCCAATCAAATCTTCTCCCGTGTCGCCAATACCAGACCCGTCCACAACAGTTATTGAGCCAGCATTATGTTTAACAGGAGTTTCAACTGAAGTTTGCTCCCAGACTCCATGGGGGGTAAATAATTTTTCTCTAAGAATTGAATTTCCCGTGGAACTTTTTCCGTTTCCGGTCCTTCCAACCAAAAGCAGAACAATTTGATCTTGATTCATTCTTTTCAATAATACTTTGATCTGCTTCTTTGAATACAAAATTTTAAAAACAAATATAAACTATATTTTTTTAAAAAATCTTTCAAACACATATTTTACGATAGAATGGTATAAAACTTACAATTTAATTTGCATTTTTTTTAAAAGCATAAACAGTTAAATATGTTAGAAGATTGTTTGGCAAACTCATTAGTCAAAAGAGCAAAAGAATCAGCAGCAGGACAAATTTAGAGAGCCCAGCTTCTTTTCAAGAACCTGCCATGAACCGATTTCTAGGTGACAGGCTGAGCCGGACTCAAGTCGCTAAAGAGCCGCATGGGGCAAGAAGGCCGCAATTTTCCGACCACACCGTTAGACCAGAAGTTCCCCAAACCTTTTTTTTTTAAAATTATCAGCGCCCTTGCCAACGTAGTGTCTCTCCTGGAGGCTAACGTTAAAATTCCTTTAATTACGTGAGAGTTAACAAAGGCCAATTTTTTATATTTTTTTAAATCAGTGGTTTAGTTAAAAATATATACAACACTAATTAAGGCCGCAAAAAAAAAGCCATCCACTAACCATTTGTAAGTGGAAAACATGTATCACACGATAGTGGAAAACATGGGAAGGGACATAACAGAGAAAACCTAATGCAAAGAGGAGAAACATGTGAAAAGAAGAAAAAAAAAATTCACCATTTTTTTCAGGTCTCCTATATTATTGGGACTCACGAGTTCACCCACTATCTTGTTTTTGAAAAGCCCCCCCCCCCCCAAACTCTCCCCCAATTCCCCCCCCCCTCCACACATACCCAGTTAAAACCATTTATAGAATTATAGAAACTTTTTTTTTAAAACCCCCCCCCCCCCCAAACCCCCCCCCAATTCCCCCCCCCCCTCCACACATACCCAGTTAAAACCATTTATAGAATTATAGAAACTTCTGAATACATTAATTGCTTTAAGTAGATGATAGTTTTGCAACAGTTCCGTTAGATTTTACGTTATATCGCAATCAACTGATGATTGGAAGGAAAAGGAAAAATGACGTGATGCTTCGCGGAATCCTGTGACGTGGCAGCTACTGAACAGCAATCCGGGAAGGCACATATTTAGCATCAATTTGATGAAGAAGCTTGAGATGTGTGGTTCTAATAAATAGACCGAGAGACAATAAGTAAATTATGATTCCGGCAGGTTATGTTGTTATTGCTACAGTGAACAATGTCACTAAATTTTAAAAAAAAACATAAAAAACGGGAGTTTAACATGTGTCTCATTTATAGCTGCACAAACGAAGAGCTCAAATATACTCATATTTACAAATATGAGCGACTTAGACACACCCACATTAAAATATATGTGATATACATAAACATATAATAATTGATACCCATGGGCGCCCGCAGGGGGGGGGCAAGGGGGAGGGGCACTTGCCCCCGCCCCCCCCCTGGATTGATTGGATAAAAAAATTTAGACAAAAATAGACAAAAAAATTATTAAAGTAAAGAGAAAATAAAGAGAAAAAGTAACTAAGCTGATGCTGATCTTGTTTTACTGTGTCCTTTCCGTTCGTTCACCATACAAATACGCTACAGTAAATTAAAACTATATTAAAACATTACTAAAAAAATTTTGCCCCCCCCCTGGAAAGTTTTCTGCGGGCGCCCATGTTGATACCTAAGACATAACACATATAGAATTATAGAGCATGTGATGTAATAATACATTCAGTGATAGGGCATTTGATATGCTCATATATAGTATAGCCCGGGTAGATGGGACTCGTTAACCTTGGATGGCAACCCATCTAAGAGAAGGAAACTCTGAAATCAAACCCAGAGATGGAGTCCCGAAAGGCGGATAACATTGATACAATGAAACATTCCGACAAATCCTGCGACGTCACTGGTGCCAAGCTGTATCATCCAATGATGTTCCCTTGGGTTACCCAGAGGCGTGGAGAGAGGCGATTTGCAGTTGGGAACCAGCTTATAATCCTTGAAGTATAATCCCAGGCCATGTGGATTTCGTCCTCCGAAGCCCACTCCATCGTCACATTGTGACGGACGGATGCCAGCAGCAAAAATATAGTATAGAATATGATAAGGGACTAAGAAAACTCTCACCTTTCAAATGTATCTTATTTAAATAAACTTAGTCTGAATAAATTTAGCACATACAAAACAACCATTACAGTTGACCAACCAACGGAATCTTTTTTCACCGGGTTACTGAGCTCTAGATTCACCCCTCATCCATGCAGCTGAGCAAAGCTGAGCGGATGATTGTGGGAGTTCCCGATTTTAAGAAAACACAACGGATAATTTCCTCAGAAAACAACCGGTGACCTCAAAAAGGTAGCCGTGCAGCATATTCCGCGCAGCCTTCTGCTGCATGCTTTCATTCCAACAATGTCTGAGTCATCTTGCCTTCAGATGGAATGGGATTATGTACCGCATGGCTGAAGTGAAACACACCGTGCAGTTTAGTGTGTTGATGTTTACTAGTAAAATAGTACCGTGTGATCATGGCATGTCGGTACAGCTGTTATTGTAGTTTAGATTTGAAGAAATTTAAAAAAAAAACAAAAAAAGAAAATGAAAAAGAAAAACAAAACAAAAAAAAAACCACGAAATTTCCATGTCAAGTCCATCAAAGAGTATTGCAATAATTCTGAGAGAAATCTGAGACAGGGTTTTAAGAACACAGTTTGAAGAGTGAAGACTGATACCCCAACTTAGAACAAATTTTTGGATCTGGTTAAACAGAAGTTCAGAGCTTTGCTTGGAAAAAAAAAATGTGTTTACAAAAAGATGTTGACCTATCAGGATCAGGATTAGGGGTTGTTCAAGAAATTAATTTAATTATAAATAGAACAAATTATTTATCTGCTGAAAAGCTCTATTTAAAATGTATGAACCAAAGCAAAATAAAGTTTCATTTACTTGGATCAATAAAAGAATATGATCCTTTTCTTTTACGTTCAAGCGCTGAAACTTCTCACCTTTTGCTCCACGATTGTCCAAGGGCTTGTGCCGGAATACAAGTCATTATTTTTAAATAATGCCCTATCGCGACGAGGTCAAGGTCATGTCCTTCGGTGGCTGGTGTATGTGTTCGTGTGCGCATAACAAGTCACACACTTTGTTTACGGATATATCAATAAACGGCTTAAGCGTCTTGGTGTGTTCTCCACATAGATCTAAAGCTGTGAACTGATGCTGCACGGTAAAACGTGCAGTTAAAAAATAAATGGTGTGCATTGACAGGGGAGGGGGTGGGTGGGATGGGGATGAAGGATGGGTTGAGGGGTGGGTTTTGAGGGAGGCTTGAGCACGTTATCAAATTCCTGGTCAGCTGTTTGAGTCCTGTAGACCAGGCTACAACAGAGCTGGAGACCGTGGCATAGAAAAGACGTTTTTTACTCACATCATGTTGACACAACATGAAAGATTTGGGAAACATATTTTATTGAAAAAAGAATACGAAATTTAAGGACAAAAATCCATAAGTCATAATAATACATCTTCCTCATCAGTGGTGCAACAGCGCATGTAGGGCACTGGCCTGCTGCACCCCATCCTTCCAGTCGGATCTATACATGGCATCCCAACCACCATGCGCGAACCCCACCCCACTCCTCCCTCCCACATTTTAACTAGTGTAAATCCTTCTCTATATCGTCTATCCATCTCAATGAGTCTTCTGCCCAAGGGTTTCTGTCTGGAGATCACTTTTGCAGATCTACAATCCTGCAAGCTTTTAATATGTCCGGTCAAGCGCAGTCTGCCTTTATTTATAATATGTAGAGGACATCACTTATTAATAACAAATAATGATTATCTAGGGATGTATGTATATATGTATGTATGGCTGTAATGCTATTTTCCTTGACAGCACGTGGCAAGAACGTCATGATTTCATTCACAGGTTGAGACATCGCCCCGCCCCCCACGTTACGCCCAATCGCATTGGACTCACGTCTCCTCTTTTCTTACCCCTTTTCCCTGAATTTAATCTCTCACCTACTTACTTTTAGTCACAATTATTTTGCTGCCTTCTCAGGTACTACGTTTCAGATAAGTGCTTATTTTTAATTTAATTCTGTTTTTTTTTTCTATTGTTTGTTTGCTGACACTTCGTTGTTTTGTTGCGTTCCCTTTTCAGGTTTTCGAATACTTTGTTTGACACATTTCCTTTTTTTGCTAACTTTATTGCAGTCTCCTCCCCCTCCCCCTTTTTTTATCCCCCCTTATACAATGATGTGTTCAATAGCGCGTAGCATACAGCTCCCAAAGTGCACCAACTAACGTGTACATTTGTCTTCAAAAGCCGTGCAAGATACATTTTCTATTTCTGCATTGAGATTCTTAAAAAAAAAAAAAACGCTGATAGAGACCGCTGTTGTTGTTTTGACGTGTCGGTCGCCCTCTGACGTGTAAGTAGTTACGATAGTAGGTCACATAAATTCATTCTAAAATACCGAACTGACGGGAAACTCTTGCGGCGGGATCTTATTTTTTTTCGGTATCAGTTATCGCGTATTTGCGGGGGGGGGGGGG